TCAAGGCTCAATGTTGGAATCAAACCTTTAAATTCCTATTTAAACAAGTTTCTATTAATCAGATCTTTTCTAAATTGCATAGAATTGACTCTTTTAATCTCCATGATGGAATAAAAAAAGGTTACTATGATTTTGAAAAGGTCATTATGATAAAATTAGTAGACATTTTATTCTTTGAAAGTAGTGCTACAACATTTTGGTTCGAGTCTGAGTAGTAGCTTAACATCTTATAGAAATGATAGAATAAGTTCTATAATGAATTAAATTCCCAGAGTTTTCTAGGTGATTGAGTATGAAACAAGATGACGCGGAATGGACTAGGATGACTACACATATTAAACATACCTCAATCATGAACCCGCTATATTCAGCATTCAGTAACTTAATTACCTAAATTCACTCTCCCCACTGGAATCACAGTCAGTGTATTGAAAGTTTATCCAGGTAACTAGAAATAAAAAGAATAAAGAAAGCCGCTACAACTTATTTGATAAGTCGATCCTGATTTTCTGACTCAACAAGGCAGTTGGAAACTCCCTAACTTTAAGACACTTGAAGAGCACTAAAAAATTAGTCATAGCTAATTAAACAGTAAAAAACTGAAATTTTATTCTCAATTCTAAAAGTTGTTGTTTATAGCATAATAGTGAGACCTTTATATAGACTTGCACCTAGATACTTCCAATCAAATACAAAGACTTAAAATTAACAAAATAATTGCTTAATCCTAATACCTAGCCCAAAATTATTAATAAAATATCCTTAGTGATTAAACTAATAATAAAATACTAATAGAAAAATTAATAAAATAAGGCTAGAATTATCCCATGTGAATTTGGATTAAATCACATGGAGAAAAGGAGAAGGATTGTCATTCTCAGCAGTAAGTTCCCCATCCGCATGCCTCAAATGCATTAAAAGGATTTTTGCATGTGCATAGTGTGCAATGCGCTGGTGTCCACATGTGTGTGGTGTGTAGCATGTGTGGTTGTCCTTTGCGTGTGCACGTGTCACATCCCAAATACCTAACAAGTAGAAGGGATCCAACTACCTGAGTAGTTTTGAGTGTAAAAAAAACATTATTTGATATTGAAGCGGAAGATAGAAATCCCTTACAAGACAAACTAAGACTTAAAAATATACATAAAAAGCCATTGTGACATCCCAAATGCTAATTAAAGCATGTGGGTGTCAGATACATAAATAACTTATGAGTGCATGATAAAAATTTATATGCAGCGGAGCAAATTAATACAAATCCCTTACAAAATATATGAGTTCCAAATAGAAAAATAACAGAGGCAAGAAATGGCTACAAAATATAAATGTCAAAATACAAAAAGGGCCACTTCAATATTATACTATTGGACTCATCAGAGTGCGGAAACAATCAAGCACTCAAGTTTTTCTGACTACCCATGTGGAATGACAAAATTAGACACAGATAACGGCAATTTACTCAGACACATTTCAAGCTTGCCAAACCATCGTATGATCTATGACCACAACTGTACCGACCATAGTAGTCCTATCAAATACTCTATAGTCACGATAGTACTTAGCCAAAGGAGACCCTAATAGATATTCGCGTCAGTACTCTCGTCAAAGGGTACGCCGTTATCCATAGGGAAGGGTCCTCTCACATCTTTCCAGACCATATGCGGGAGGAAAAAACAAATATCCCTCAGAGATAAAAAGCCTAACGAGATACTTGATGAAATATACATGTCAATATAGATACGTACATACTTCAGATCATTCAAGTTTCATTCCACTTTTCTTTTCTTCTCCTATTTTTTTTATATTTTCCAGATAATCTTACCGGTTTTATATTATTTATTTACATGCAAATCATCAAGTGCCTATAAATCACATAGCATACTTGAAATCAAGAATAATTCACTTTGTTAGAACTACTAAACATAGAACATGCAAATCACACAAAATCATGGATTCATTATTTTAATTTTCTAAAAATACTCTTTGAGACTTTTAAAAAAATACTAAATTTCTCACCGAACCTCGATAGTTTTTCCTACATCGTTCTTCTTATACTCCTCTCTTTCTCTCTCTAGATCACTCTCCCTCTCTCTCTAAACTCTTGGAAGATGGAAGAACGGAAGTGGTGAGAAAATGGGAGGAAGGGTTCCTATTTATAGAAAATGAAGGTCGTCGAATTTGCGTCAAGTGGTAAAATTCGGTGAAGAGAGAGAGTGCTAAAAATGGGAAAGATGTTTGATTTGATGCGGCACAAGAAAATGAAGGAGAATTTTCCCCCACTGGCGGTGGCACACCCCAAGAAGTAGTTTGGGCGACAGCAAACTACCCGAGGCGGTAGTGTGCCTCAGCCGCCCGACGTGTACTACAAGCCTAATCTGCAGGCGTTGGGCTTCCCTACAACATGCAGGAGCTAACTAGCTTGCTGGGGCATCGCGCGCAGGCTTATTGTGCGCAGGCCCCAAGCACACAGTCCTGCTGCGCACACAGCGCGCACACAATGTGCAGCTCTAACCCTGTCCACTAGCGATGTGACAAAGGGGCCTTCACATGGGATTTTTCACCCTTTTTTCACTTTCTCCCGAAAATTATTTTTTTAAAAAAATAATAAAATAATAAATCAAAACAAAATTAGGTAAAATTAAATAAAATCAACAAAATTTACAAATTACGATATAAAGCTGCAAAATAAAATTAAATGAGTTGAGTGTGGCCTCAAGGTCTGAATAAATAAGGTTTTTTAAATACAAATTTAGCACAATGGTGAGCAGGGTGTTACAGCCATAATTTGGCATTATTGAATATTAAATACAAATGTGGGGTCCTTACAGAATTTTACATCAGAGTGTGAAATAACTAGTACACTCGAATTATACCCTAAAAAAAGTTCAAGGATCCATGAAAGGTTTTAATCAAACTTCAAGATAATTTGGGGAGCCAATCCTCAACTTCCGTGACATCTAGGGAGCACAGATTAGGGTGAGTTCTATATAAACTTAGTCAAGGAAATAATATTTAAAACCACACAACTAATGTTTAAAAGGTAAACAACTTGAACAATACTTTATATAACTCTTACCTCAATGAACCGTCGCGGAATGAATACATTTAATTATTCAGAAAAATCCTTTGTCTTTATTAAGGAAATCTAGTGAAACATCATATAACCAAACTAAGATCATCATAAAGTTAATATTTAAACAATCATGTTATGTCACTTTTGGCATTCCCGAATGTATCAAGTATTCAATAGAGACTGTACAAAATAGCATACTTAGTAAACAGAAGAACCATCATATAAATCATCATAGAGATACAATTAGTATTCTTAATGTAGGTTTTATTAAGTTTTACCAACCTCTACATGAAGCTGTTACAACGTATATCCACTGAGAGCAAAAAGGATCCCCGGCTATCGCTGTGAATCAATGACCCATTATCGGGCCATTATCAGTGTCCCATATAAACTATAACCATAACCATACGTCGCCACAGTGGCCCTACATATACCTAATGCGTATCCTCTCTTGTTAGAGGAACCGCCGATCATCACAGGGAGTTGTTCACCAACACTCTTTTAGAGGAGGGAAAAACAGAAACCCCTCAGAGATAACAACCGAACAAATTTTTCATTTTTTTCACTTGTTTATTTTATTTTCACAAAAATTTCAATATTCTTTTTATATGCATATTACATGTTCGATGTAACCGTTTTTGAACCCAATAAGGATTCCACAACTTATTTGGATCGAAAGCCCCTTTTTCACATGTTTGGCTCGAAGGCTCATTTCACGTTTCTAACCCGAAGGCTCATTTACTCAGTCTTGACCTTTGGGTCATCCTATTGAGTTAAGGCCCACTAAAATAACCCTCTTCACCATTATCAAGGTAAAACGAAGGACTAAACCCGTATGCAATTTATCAATCATCATATTTTCATACATCATGCTCAATATTTCATAGTTAAATAATGACCAAACACTGAAGAGACTTATGCATCAACCATCATCTTCAACAATACCATATATGTAAACAAGCATCAATCCTTGTAGAAATTCATGCATCGTAGTCATATGGTACAACTATTATGTATCATAATACCTCAGATAGTCATATTTAAGCAATTAGTCACCAAACAAGCACATAAGTCCATAATCATAGATATTTCAAATTAATTTAACTAAAATGGGCTATTAAAAATGTAAGAATAAATACTAAAGAATTCTTTACTGAAATTGAAGTTAAATAAATCATTAGAGAAGGGAGAAAAGGACTTTTAGAGATTATCAAACAAGCTCTTAAGATTCCAACTTTCTTTTTTTCTTCTTGCCTCTTTTTCTCTTCAAAATTCCTTGTTTCTTTATCAGAGTTTCTCTCTTTAGAAAGTGGAAAATGGAAGGGGAAATGAAATTTCAAAGGAAGTGGAAAATGGAAGGGAAGATGAAGTGTGAAAGGAAGTGGAAAGAAACCTTAAAATAGGCAAAGGAAGGGGCTTGGATGTGTGCCATGTTGAGGGCATCCAAGTGGATACGTGATAGTAGTTGGGAGGGATTGGCCAACAGTGGGGCTCGCACCGTATGGGGGTTATCCACACGGCAGGCGGTCATGGGTAGTAAAGTGCACCTACATGTTGTCAATGCGTAGGATAAGTGCACACGGTGTGCGGCCAGCACTAGTGTGCTCGTTAGCATGCACAGTGCCCACAGAGTGTTGTGCGCCAGTGTTGGTGCGTTGGCTCACTTACATAGTACCACGTGCAAGCACTTGAGGCATGCCATCTTTGTGATGTGACCATCCAGGGACATGCCATTGGCACGTGCACAACATCCTCGCTCACGAGCACGTGGGTCTGCGGTGTTTTTTCCTCTTTCTGCTTCGCTGATTTAACCAATTTTTTCTGTTTATCCTAAAAATATTATTAATTCGAAAATAATTTTGGAAAATAATAAAATGAATAAAAATTATTCAGATTAAAATATAACAAAAATATCGGTAGTTTTAAATAATAACAGAATTTAAATGGCTATGAGACCTAAATAATGGAGTTCGATACACGTTAAATGCAAAGGTTTCAGGGTGTTACATTTCTCCCACCTTATACAAATTTTGTCCTCTAAATTTATAAGAGTTTTTTAAAACAAATCAAGATATAGGTCCCACATCCCACATCCCTTTTTCCTCTTCCCATGTCACCTCTTTTGAAGTGTGGTGCTGTCAACACACCCTGATTATGAAAATCCTCTCGTTACATAGAACCTTCCTCATCTAGTTGATGATCTCTATAAGATATGCTATATAGGTTTTGTCTATGTGGATAGGAGCTCTTGGGTGCAGGATGTTGTGAGAAGGATCGCAGAGACATTTTCAGATAATAGAAACCTTGAAGACATCGTGTAAGGAAGCATACTCAAGGGTCAAAGTGGGGCAGTACGCCATGGGGCCTATACGTTTTGCGATCTTCAAGTGTCTAACATAACGAGGACTTAGCTTATCTCTTTGTCGATACCATAATCCTACCTTGCATGGAAAGACCTTGAGGAAAGTATGGTCAGCAACCGTAAACTCCAAGGGACACCTTTGGTTGTCTGTGCAACTTTTCTAGCGACTCTGAGCAGTGAGGAAGTGCCTCTGGATAACGTTAACCTTCTCGATAACCTCCTAGATATAATCCGATGCAGGGAGACTCATGTCCCCAACCTCATTCCAATGGGTTAGAGATTGGCAAGGCTTACCATAGAGATTGTCAATCCTACCATAGAGGACTCATGTCCCCAATCCTTGACCAGATTCACCGATTACATGGGAAACCCTCAAATCATTATTTCAGACAGAGATAAAGTTTTCACCAGTCTCTTCTGGGAAGAATTAAATGAGGTTAACAGGAACAACTCTTCATTACAGTCCTCTTATCATCCTCAAACAGATGGTCAGATTGAATGACTCAACTAGTGTTTAGAAGGGTATCTTCGATGTATGGATCACTCCAACGTTAACTCTTGGGAAAAAGGGATTGGGTTAGCCGAATGGTGGTATAATACCACCTATCGTTCAAGTATAAAAATGTCACCCTTTCAGGCTCTCTACGGGTATCCACCATTATATTTTTTGGATACTGTTGACATCGACACTCCATCAGCAGACCTTGAAACCTTTTTGGAAGAAAGGCAACAAATAAATAGATATCTGAAACAAACATGCCTTACCACTCAAAACAAAATGAAGTAATATGTTGACGGACATAGAACAGAACGATAGTTTGAAGAAGGTGACTTGGTTCTTTTTAAACTTTAACCCTACAACCAAGTCTCAATAGCTACAAAAAAGGGTTATAAACTGCTTCCAAAATTCTATGGCCTTTATAAGATTGAGAAAAAAATCAGTGCAGTAGCCTATCGATTGCAACTTCCTCCAAAAGCTAGAATACATCTTGTTTTCCATGTGTCCTTACTAAAGAAATATTACCTGGGAGACCTGCAGGATAGAACCAACTCATCAAAATTTATAGAAACGAAGATAATAAAACCAGAGGAGATCTTGCAGATAAGAATGGTAATAAGAGAAGGACAAGAAGAAAGACAATGGCTAATCAAATGGCAAGGAACTAATGAAGAAACTTAAGAGAAAGTAACATATATATCCCAATAGTTTCCTCACTTGAACCTTAAGGGAAAGGTTAATTCTCAAGGGAAGGGAATTGTTGAGAACCAAATGCAAACACCATAGTATGAGCCAAAATACAGAGAATTAAAAAATAAGGAGCAGGAAGAGAAAAATGAATATGACTTCACATAATCCTCTCCTGAAAGTTATGCGACAGCATTTGAAGCGAATTGAAACACTGAAGCGTCGAACCATTCTAAACCATTGTCTTTCCTAGACGAACCAAGCCAACTCTATCCGTTGAACTGCACATGCTTTAGTCTTAAACCAACTCATGCCTATTCATCTTCTTCCTCTAATCAACGCATCCCCAACTCTGAACGGTGACTTTCGGCGATGTTTGGTGAATCCAAATGAAGAAATTTACACCGATTCATGTATATAAATAAGTGATAGTGGATCGAACAATATATTCGTGGAATTCAAGCAATAAAATATCACATTTATGTGTTTTCTCTTTCTAACAGCTTTTTTCTCTCTCTAACAACTTTTTCTCCCTTTTTAAAATATTCTCTCCTCAAATCTATATTTCTTTCTCTCTCAAACTCTCTTTTCTTCCCGTACACTCTCTCTTAGACTCTCTTCTTTTTTCTTTCCCCGATACCCTCTTTTATCCCCTTTAAAAATCTTTTTTTCTAAAATTCCCATTTTGTCCTCTATTTCTTTAATTTTAGAATCTGCCCCAACCTTTCAATTTCTCAAAAATACCCACTAATATTTAACCTCCACATTTTTTTCAAATTCTGATTTTAGTGAATCACATGTCCAAGACAAGTCTTGACAGTCAAGTTCAAGCTTATCTTCTTTCATTCTGTGTCAATCATATCCTTTAAGAAAATTGTCTAGATTAAGTTTACATTCTATTGATCATAAAAATTTGGTGCCATTTCAGTTAGTTCACTCACATGTCTGGGGTCCTACACCAGTTTTATCAAGTCAAGGTCATTGTTATTTTTCCATATTTGTTGATGATTTCACCCGATATACATGGGTGTATTCGTTTAAGAATAAAAGTGAATTATTTTCTAAATTTCTTCAATTTAATGCTTATGTTGAACACCAATTTCACACTATGATTAAATCATTTCAATATGACTTCGGTGGTGAATATAAAAAAGTTAACCAAA